GAATTAATTAACGATTGATATAATAATATTTTTTTAATTATACATAAATATAATAATCATTACCATATAATATATAATTTAATAGAAAAACAATAAAACTATTTAATGATAAAAAATAACACTCATTCTTTGTAAAAATATTAATAATTTAAATATATAATAAAAATAACAACACAATAGTAAAAAAAAAAAGGAAACAATGAATCTAATAAATAATCAACAAAAATTCTAAAAATGAATTGCAAAATAAAACAATGAATCATTGAAAAAAAAAATTGTTGGTTAGGTTATAAGAAAGTTGAAAAAACAAAACAATCCATTATAAAAGCACGCAAAATATGTTGATGAATTTGATAAATATTATTTATCTAATTATTAATAAGTATGTGGACAAGAAAACTAAGTTTTTTAGTTGTTGTTTTTTTATATTATTGGATAAATATAGTATTTGCTTTCAATTAAAAAATCTCACAAATTCATTCTAAAATAAGAATTAATTAAAATTTACAAATATCAATTTTTTATAAACGGTCTCAACTAAATATAAATATATTTTGTAGTTGTTTGTTTGAATATTTTAATTTAATGTCAAAATATATTTATATTTTATAAAAAAAACTATTGAATACCAAAAAAATATTATAATTCTTTTTCTCTAAGATTTATTTGAATCTCAATAAATACACTCCATAGCTAAATAAACTATTTAAATAGAATATGATAATCTTTTAGAATTAATTTTGGGTTAATTAAATTAAATGAAAATATTGTAAGAGAAGGTTAAGTAATAGTATTTTCAGTCTTTAATATAAGAAATTTTTTTTGGATATTCACAAAATAGATTTATTGTTGAAAAGACTTTATTTTCTCTTTCGAACATTTGTATTTAAAGTCACATAAACACATTTGACAAAACCTTTTAAAAAACAGTTCATCCATTCTTTTGTTGTTATTTTGGTTTATTAAAACTAATCAAAATTTCATAATAAAAATATTAGAGATTCGAATATGTACCATACAACCGAATGTCATTATAATTATTAATTTATTTAATTAATGAGACACTTCTTTAATTTTTTTATACTATTCTAATAACTAAAATTTCATCTCATTTATCAATTAAATTGATTTAGTAAAATTATTTTTCTTTGTATCTTTTTAATGATATCTTTTTGAATACTTAGAATCATACTATTATATAAAAATAGAAGATAAACATAAAATAAACTGCGTAATAATTTCTTTTAGATGATAAATTAAATTCTCTTAAAAAAATTTAGTTTTTATTTTTTATACCTATTAATCATTTAATAATTTTATACCTGTTAATAATAATTTACTTGCAAAATTTTTAATTATTTTTTTTATTTATAATAAATATCTTAATTATTACCAAATATATAATTAATAATGCATTGTATTTTAAATATCATAATTTGAAACAATTTTTTTACAAATGTGGTAAAAAAAAGAATAGAAGAAATATTATTTTATTTTATCTATTCTACCTTATACAATTAAAAGTATTATTTATATATTAATAATTAATAAGGTATTAAAATTTAAAATAAAAATGTAGCTAAAATATAATAAAATAACTGTTAAAAATAACGGAGGGAAACAGGGAATAACAACATTTATTAGTTTTTTAAATGTAACAAAATAGTGTATAGATAGCATATTCATTAAATTTATAATAAAATGATAAGCAATAAATATAAAGACGATAAATTAAACGAATAAAGATATAAAAATATTAGTATTTTAAATGTGGAAAACTCCTCGATAGAGTAAAAACTACTATTTGTTCATATTAAAAAAAGTAATTATACTGTAATCAATTGACGGTACAAGAGAATCTTAAAGTGATTCACAAAATAGTGATAACAATCCTAAATCACAAAACAAATTAACTTACAAATAAAAATTCAAAATATTGAAAAATTACCCAAATTTAAACTTTCTTTTTAAGATTTCAACGATCAAAAGTTAGATATAGATGTTGTAAATCTTCACTCCAAATTTGAACTTGGTCTGACGGCTAACGAATTCGAGATCGTCGATTTAATGAGACTAGTCCAGAAAAACAGAAATGAATTTTTCTCATTTTTTTCTCTTTTAAAGTTTTATTTTCTCTCTATTTCTATTAACCTTAAATTAACACTTTTCACTTAAATAAATAAGATAAATGAGATATTCATATTTAAGTCTTTCTCTGCCAGATAGAAATAGAGACCAGTTTGTAAAAAATGTTAAGTAATTTGTCTACAAAAGTTTTCTGTTGGAATCACTATTTTTTTCATTCTTTTTACCCTAAACGTATCTTCAAGCAAACACTAATTTCATGTTTCATTCTATGCTTAATTTGTAGTGTGAGCAACATATCATACTTCATGAAGAAAAGGATATGTCTAGTTGCAGCTTATGGCTTTAACATCTTAAGTGACACAACAACTCTTTGTGTCTATATGTTTTGATACTACTGCCTTTCATTGTGACTAATGAGTTTGTAATTTCTACTTAATCTCAATTTTCTTTACAAATTAACTATCACGTGCATATAGACGAGTCTTTTACTAATATTTTATAAAAATATAATTTAAAATTGAATAATTCATTTTTATTTTCAAGATGATTTCTATGACATACAAATTATTATAAATGATTGTAAACTTTAATATAGAATTAATAATTTGATTTTTAATATACATATATATATATATATATATATATATATATATATATATATATATATATATATATATATATATATATAAAATTAGTTTCGATTTAAAGTTTAACACCGAATGATTTCAGTCTTGTCTCGATTATAGTTGTGTTCGGAATTTGATTATTTCAACTCTCTATTGATTACAATTGTGAAGGATTGAACTGTAATTCTTTATACTAAATTCAGCATTAATTATCACTAAATCAATTAATAATTTATATAATTAAATTTTTTTAATTATACATAAATATAATGATCATACTGTATAATATATAATTTAATAGAAAAACAATAAAACTATTTAATGACAAAAACAACACTCATTCTTTATAAAGAATATTAATAATTTAGATATAATAGTAATAACAACACAATAGTAAAAAAAAAAAGGGAAACAATGAATCTAGTCAATAATCAACGAAAATTCTAAAAATGAATTGCAAAATAAAACAATGAATCATTGAAAAAACAAAAGAAATATAAAAAATTGTTGGTTAGGTTATAAGAAAGTTGAAGAAACAAAACAATCAATTATAAAAGCACGAAAAATATGTTGATGAATTCCATAAACATTATTTATTTCATTATTAATAAGTATGTGGACAAGAAAACGAAGTTTTTTGGTTGTTGTTTTTTTACATTAAACAAGTCAACACATATTTGTACCTTGGATAAATATAGTATTTGCTTTCAATAAAAAAATCTCACAAATTCATTCTAAAATAAGAATAAATTAAAATTTATAAATATCAATTTTTTACAAACGGTCTCAATTGAATGCGAATATATTTTATTTTAGAGTTGTTTATTTGAATATTTTAATTTAATGTCAAAATAAATTTATATTTTATAAAAAAACTATTGAATACCAAAAAAAATATTATAATTCTTTTTCTCTAAAATTCATTTGAATTTCAATAAATACACTCAATAGCTATACACAATTATTTAAATAAAAAAAATAATAATTAGATATAATTTTATAGGTGTAATTCATATTTTTCTTCAATAAAAATATAATAAATATATTTAAATATCTTTATAAGAAATAAAAATAGAAAAAAATTACATATATATATATATATATATATATATATATAAGAGATATTCATTAAAAAATAATATAATTACACCTAAAGAAATACATTTAAACTTTTTTCTAAATAGAATATGATTATCTTTTAAAATTAATTTAGAGTTAATTAAATTAAATAAAAATATTGTAAGAGAAGGTTAAGTAATGGTATTTTCTGTCTTTAATAATATAAGAAGATTTTGGATATTCACAAAATAGATTTATGGTTGAAAAGACTTTATTTTCTCTTTCAAACATTTTTGTATTTAAAGTCACATAAACACATTTGACAAAACCCTTTTGAAAAATAGTCCATCCATTCTTTTGTTGTTATTTTGGTTTATTAAAACTAATCAAAATTTCATAATAAAAATGTTAGGGCTTCGAATATGTACCATACAAGTGAATGCCATTATGATTATTAATTTATTTAAATTAATAAGACACTTCTTTAATTTTTTTTTAATATTCTAATAACTAAAATTTCATCATATTTATCGACTAAATTGATTTAGCGAAATTATTTTTCTTTATTTCTTTTTAACGATATCTTTTTGAATACTTATAATCATACTTTTATATAAAAATAAAAGATAAATATAAAATAAATTGCGCCGCAATTTTTTTAAATGATAAATTAAATTCTCTTAAAATAATTTATATTTTATTTTTATACTTATTTAATCATTTAATAAATTTATACTTATTAATAATAGTTTACTTGCAAAAATCTTAATTATTTATTATTATTATTTTCTTTTTATAATAAACATCTTAGTTATTACCGAATATATAATTAATAATGCATTGAATTTTAACTATCATAATAATTTGAAATAATCTTTTTACAAATGTGGTAGGAAAAAAAGAATATAGGAAATATTATTTTATTTTATCTATTCTACCTTATACAATTAGAAGTTAAAAAGGTATTAAAATTTAAAATAAAAATGTAAGAAAATAACGGTTAAGAAATAAGGGAGGGAAATAGGGAATAAGAAGATTTATTAGTTTTTAAAATATAAGAAAAAAAGTGTATAGATAGAAAATTGATTAGATATATAAAAAAAAGATAAAAAAATTAATTGTACTGTTGTATTAAACAAACCAAAACGATGAATATAAAAAACAGAACAAGAGTTTGCGGACATAAAAAAACCTCAGGTCTGGTGTCTTGTGTTGACAGTATCTTCAATGGCTTTCTGTTCGCATCTTTACCGTCTCCCCGTCGCTCGCATCGACGTTCCTTTTCCGGACCGATTCCGGTCCGGTAAACTCTTCTCAGTCCGTTGCTCCGCAGACTCCGATTTCGATCCGAAGCTGTTCCGGAAGAATCTCACCAGAAGCGATAATTATAACCGCAAAGGCTTTGGACACAAGGAAGAGACTCTCAAACTCATGAATCGCGAGTACACCAGTATGTTGATCCTTTTTTCTTCCGAGTCAATTCAATTTCTCTGACTAGTCGTCCGTAATTTTGATTTCTGAATTTTTGTGGATATGGTTTTCTTCTTTTTCTTGTTCAGGTGATATCGTTAAGACGTTGAAGGAAAATGAGTATGAGTATACATGGGGTAATGTTACTGTGATGCTAGCGGAAGCCTTTGGCTTTTGTTGGGGTGTTGAGAGAGCTGTTCAAATTGCTTATGAGGCCAGAAAACAGTTTCCTAATGACAAGATTTGGATTACCAATGAAATCATTCACAATCCAACTGTTAATAAGGTATGTAAATTTCCTATCACCTTCAATGCTTGATTGGTAAGTTATAAATTATAATTAAACAGTTAACGATTTAGAGAGATCTAGAGATTAACAATTTGGACAGAACCATCGTCCTGGTGGAAGTTGATCCATGTAGCCGACCTCACTTAGTGGGATAAGACTTGGTTCTTGTTCTTGTTCTTGTTGTTGTAGTATAATTAAACAGTTGATGAAGTTGGTAAATATTGATTTGTTTCTTGAACTTGACAATTGCGTTGTTTTCTTGCGCATACTGTATTTTTATAAGATTAATTGTTTGTGTTGATTGTTGAGCTTGATATTAAATTTTGATGCAGCGGCTAGAGGAAATGGAAGTGCAGAACATTCCTGCTGGAGAAGGAAAGAAACAATTTGAGGTTGTCAACAAGGGTGATGTAGTAATATTGCCTGCTTTTGGAGCCGCGGTCGATGAAATGTTGACTTTGAGTGAGAAAAATGTTCAAATCGTTGATACAACTTGCCCTTGGGTTTCAAAGGTGAGGATGGTTGTCTAATTTGAGGATTTGCTTATATTTAGTTCATGTATTAATACGCACCTGAGATTGTTTCTTTGATGAATTGTCTTGAAGGTATGGAATGTTGTTGAGAAGCACAAAAAAGGAGATTATACTTCAATAATTCATGGTAAATATGCCCATGAGGAAACTGTAGCAACTGCTTCTTTTGCTGGAAAGTACATAATTGTGAAAAATATGGCAGAGGTTTGTCCTAAGTTTCTGCTACTAGTCGATTTTATGTGCGGCAAATGCCTTAAATTGAAGTAATTTGTTGTAATTTATGTATAACCGTTAAATTTATCCAGGCTGAATATGTTTGCGACTATATTCTTGGTGGTGAACTTAATGGATCCAGCTCAACCAGAGAGGCATTTTTCGAGGTACGGCTTTTGTCCTGTCCTATAATTGACCTTGCTTTCAAAACTCTGTAGTCTTCAATGTCGTGATTACTTTATTTCTCTTTTTTACAGAAATTCAAATTTGCAATTTCTGAGGGCTTTGATCCAGACAGTGACTTGATAAAACTTGGCATTGCAAACCAGACAACAATGCTCAAGGGAGAAACTGAAGAGATTGGTTAGTTTTTGTTGTAGTTCGAGTTAGCGGCAGAGGGATTCTCGTGCACTCTATTCAAATTTTTTGAGTAATTCTGATATGTATTTTTCTGATCGGTCCACAGGGAAACTAGTGGAGAGGACTATGATGCGCAAATTTGGCGTGGAAAATGCTACTGAGCACTTCATAAGCTTCAACACAATTTGTGATGCTACCCAGGTATTTAGACTTGTCTAGTCCTCGATGCTCTTTCTCGTTTTGGATTAGATACAATGTGATTGCAGCCCTTGTTTAGCCAGTGGCCATTACCATAAAAGTTGAATTTTTTTCTTTCAGGAGCGACAAGATGCTATTTACAAGCTGGTAGAGAAAGATATGGATCTCATGTTGGTAGTCGGTGGCTGGAACTCGAGCAATACATCCCACCTGCAAGAGATAGCTGAGGAACGCGGAATTCCTTCATACTGGATTGACAGTGAGCAAAGAATTGGTCCAGGAAACAAAATAGCGCACAAGTTGAATGTAAGCATCGATAAAGGAGATTTATACCTCATCACCCGTTGTTAGCTCTTTTTCACTATAAATAAAAATGTTTATATTTTCATCTTTCAGCATGGCGAGCTTGTGGTGACAGAAAACTTTCTACCAAAGGGTCCATTAAGGATCGGTGTAACATCTGGTGCATCCACGCCAGACAAGGTATTTTCTCTTGCTTTCCTTCCAGTTTTTGCTGATAATATCCGATTCAGCATCCTTTAATACTATTTTGCATCGTTTGATTTCACACAGGCCGTGGAAGATGCGCTGATCAGGGTGTTCGACTTGAAAAGGGAAGAAGCATTACAACTCGCGTAAAGTAGGTCTGCATACATACATTATGAAATGTATAAATAACAGGATGAACTTGATGATTCCAAAAAACAGGTTGAACTTGAAATTACAGGATATGTTAGAGTTTGTTTTTCTTTTGAAAAAAATGTCAACAGTTTAAGTTTGATTTGTAGAACTTTATCAATTAGAAACCTCAATGTTATATTAAATGAATTTCTTCAAAATGTTGCCTTTTGCAGTAGGGTCTAGTATTACTTGTCATCATAGACCAATCTGTTAGCAATAGCATTAGGATCATCTATGCATTTGTAAACTCTGATAACTCAATTCCACAAGGCTGTCTTAAACTTTGTTTTGTTTAAAATTTTATTCAAACAAAGTATTTTAATGACAAAGAATTAATCAATTAGATGTTTTTTTCTTCTTTTAGGACATTTTTAAATAATTGTTGAGAATTTATTCAACATAAATAAAAATTAGTAATCGAATGTGATATTGAAGTCAATAAAAATCATTATTGTAGATAAATTTATCAAATTCGGTCTATAATGTTAAAATATATCAAATAGTAATTGAATTTGATGTTTTTTTACTTACTCCCTCCATTCTTATTTATAAGAAAATTTTAACTTTTTAAATTCATTGAATAAGTGATGTATCTAACTTATATATAAACCAAATACATCATTTATTCAATGAATCTAAAAATTTAAAATTTTCTTATAAATAAAAATGCAGAGAGTATGTCATATATGTTAGTAATTGAATGTCTCCACCACAATTTGGTTACGTTGCCCTATAACCATAGATATGAGTAAAGGGGGGAATATGTCTTATTAATACAAGAACAAATAATAGGGGATTTCTACGAAATTCTCTAGACAATTATATGTCACATTCAACTACTAACACTTAGTGGTCCTTAAGACATCAAAATTCACTAGACAGCAAATGATGTTGAAAAGATTAGGTAAATCTATCAAATTCAGTTTAAATATTAAATATTATAAAAAAAAACAATAACAAATAAGTCTGGTCTTATTATATGAGATCCGTTATATAAATCAATTTTTGCTATAATATTTTATCAAACGACCATGCTTTTATCCAACTCTTTCTTAATCAATTTTCTTATAGTTTTTCTGGATCTTTCTCTTTTTTAAATTGCTTGTTTTCTCTTCATTTGATCTACGCTCTTTATTATAAAATTTATAGATCTTCTCTTTACATATTCAAATCACCTAAGTCTATTTTTCATCATCTTTTATATTATAGACGCTACTTCGACACTAACTTTTTATTCTTTTCAAAAAATACATTCTCATTAAGTGAAAACAAATCTACATTTTTTTCATATATATTCCTCTTCTTTTTTTTAAAGTTCTATATTTTCCTTATATCCAAACTCAAAAATAGAGCCTAAAAGATAATCTAAAATTCATCCAATCAAATACTTACATTACTTTAGAGTTTTAAAAAAAAATTAAAAAAAATCCATGATTGAAAAATATTCTAATTTCAAAGTTAAATTTTTTTAAAATTGTTAGTGCGTAAGACACTTTTAGTGAGGAGAGAATAATAAAGGAAATAAAGATTATATTATTTACTTTTTGTAAATAAGGATACAGACTATTACTATTTATATACAACCTTAATTTGGCTTGGGCTAACACAACTTAGATTATATTTAAATATTAAATCTAATCTAATATTTCAACACACTCTCTTAATCAAAGTTGTCGAATCTATGTTAATCATAGTCGATCTGAATTATTTCTAATTTCTTTCTCAAATTCAAGAATCTGTCAATCTTTAATCTTTTGGTGAAAATATTGACCAACTGTGCTTCACTTGAGCAATGTCTTACTTCAAGTTCACCTTGATTTACCTTTTCCTTCAAGAAGTGAAATCTAATTTCGGTATGCTTACTTCTTCCACGCAGAACTGGATTCTTCGCCAGATTTATGGTTGACTTGTTGTTGATTTGCAACACAAGAGGTTTCTTTACTTCGACCTCCATTTTTTCAAGTACAGATCTGATCCAAATTACTTGACATGCAACATAGAATCTTGCTATATATTCAGCTTCACATGATGACAATGCCACAACAGGTTGCTTCTTCGAACACCATGAGATTGAGGCACCAAATACTTAAAAGAAATATCCAGTTGTGCTTCTTTGATCTTCCTTATCTCCACACCAATCAGCATTTGAAAAACAATTAACTATTGTTTCTTTGTCTTCAAAATCTCGTTGAAATAGTATTCCACAGTTTATCGAACCCTTCAAATATCTCAGGATTCTTCTTGCAGTCTTCATATGTGACACTCTTGGTTCACTCATATATCTTCTTATTAATCCGACAGCGACACCTATATCAGGTCAACTGTTAGACACATACCTCAGAGATCCCACAATTTGCTTGAACAAAGTTACATAAACTTTGTCTTCCTCTCCATTCTTCTCCAACTTCACATTCGGTTAGATATGTGAAGATGCAGGATTTAAATCACCCATTATGAATATCTTGAGTATCTATTTCACATACTTCCTTTGATGTAGCATCACGCTCTGCTTCGACATTTGAAATTCCATGCCTAGGAAATAAGAAAATTTTCCCATATTCGATATTTCAAATTCCATCATCGTCGGCTCTTTGAACTTCAACAAGTTCTCAGTGCTACTTCCAGTTACTAGCAAGTCATCAACATATAAGCTGGTGATTATTATATCTTGTGCTACAACCTGAATATAGACACCATACTCAGATTTGCATTTGACAAATCCCAATTCGACTAAGTATGAGTCGATCTTCTTATTCCATGCTCTAGGTGCCTGCTTGAGGCTATATAGCGCTTTGTGCATTTTATATACTTTACTCGCTTCCTTTTGAATCACAAACCCTGGAGGTTGTGTGACATAGACCTATTCATCTAAAGGACAATTCAGAAATGCTGATTTCACATCTAAATGAAATGTCGACCAGCCTTGATTGCATGTCAATGCTACCACTAGTCAAATAGTCTTCAATAATACTACTAGAGCAAATAATTCAGAGTAGTTGAGTCCTTCTCATTGAAGAAACCCTCGAGCTACTAATCTTGCTTTATGTCTTTCTATCGACCCATCAACATTGTGTTTCAATTTGAACACCCACTTCACTTTGATAGCTTATGTATGTACTGGAAATTCAACTAACTACCATGTATTATTTCTTTTGATTGTTTGTAACTCTTCGACCATAGCTAACTTCCACTGTTTAATCTTCAAAACTTCGTTATGGTTGATTGAACACATGCAAGTAAAGCAAAATGAACTAATTCTTCATCTGATGTGACTTCATCATCACCTACTACTTAATAATCATGAAGTCTTGTTGGAAGAACTCTATTTATTTGAGGTGTATATAAATAGTAATAGTCTGTATCCTTATTTACATTATCTTTGGGCTGCTAATCTAATTGCTCGGCGTCGGGTGCTACGGGGTGTGTAGAACTTCTCAACCAATCGTTTTTGGTGAGAATCAGTTATAACTACTCTCTCAACTTGTAGCTGAAAAGACTCAGCCTCAACAGCCCTAGCCCGGGTTGTCACTCTATTCGTGATCCTGCATATAATAATATCGTTCTTTCCTCTGGTCTTCACTTTAAAATAGAAAAATGCAAAAAACAATGAACTACTGTCAATTTTAAAAAATTTGGTACAATTTTTAATATTTAGAACTACCTGAATTTTCAGAAGTTTTAATAAAATTTTAATATTTTGAACTATCAAAATTTTCAAAATTTCTAGTACAATTATATGAGTAAATACCAAAAATTCTGAAATTTCCGATAAAATCTCATAAATATATACCAGCATTTCTTAAATTTCCTGTACAAATACACAATGTTTAATTAGAAAATTTGAAATTCTCGATAAAAACACACGATTTCTAGAAAAAGTCTTTCTTTTAACAAAATTTCTGGTATGAAGACCAAAATTTTCATATCGCTCAAGAACTTTTGAGATGTGCAATTTTGAAAAATTATTTAAAAAGTGTGAAAGGTAATATAGTCTATTCATTTAAATTATCAAATTATGGGGGTGTGAGATATATATGGGGATGGTAAGTTAAATTCTCCATAATCCTCAAGTAAATTAGGTAGAAGCCCAAACCCAATTACTCAACTCTTATTATTTTTTGTAAAAACATTGTTGTCAAATCGGAAGAAGAAGAAGAAGAACCCTGTTATCCACTCAGCCGCTGCTAGAAGAACCCTAACCGTGATCCCTGAGAAATTGTTTGAGCCATGGTGAATACTGAATCTTCTGATATTCTACTTTGAATTTGTATTGTTGAATGATTCCTCACATTTTTGGATGATTTATTTGGTTAATTTTGCAGGCAGATGTTGAACCCGAGGTCGCCGCACAAGGAGTGCCAAAGAAGAGAACATTCAAGAAGTTCAGTTTCAGAGGCGTTGATCTCGATGCTCTCTTGGACATGTCCACTGATGAACTCGTCAAGCTCTTCTCTGCTCGTGCTCGCAGAAGGTATAGGGATCAGATCAGATCTATCTTATGTTTTGAACAAATGTGAAAAAACTAACTTCAAGATTTATTTTTATGTATTTTGATTTTTGTTTAGATGTTTATCTTATGCTACCTCTCATTAATCTCTGTATTTTAGGTTCCAACGTGGTTTGACCCGCAAGCCTATGGCACTCATCAAGAAGCTCCGCAAGGCCGTGAGTTTTCTACTTATTCACCTATCTATTCATATAATTTGTTAATTCTTCTTGATAATTCATTTCAACTTAAAGGTTCTAAATAGGAGGATATCTTGAAGTAAGAGTAATGTTATAACGGTTGGGCAACGGATATCTTGATGTACATTGATCAAAGCCTTTTCTGTTATATATATATTTTTTGCATTGATAGCTTGTAGGTGCTGTGATGATTAGTTGAAATAATCTCGTTAATCTGATTTATTATGAGGATAACTTTCATATCCATTCATTACTGTCTGAGCACCCATTTT